CCAGGATTGAAAAGAAGGACCGGGAGACTTGCACCTGTGTCTAGCAACAGGCTGTTTTCTTGTTCCTCCATAGTCATGATTACCCAGGACTCCTCGATGGAGATGACGGTCTGGCCAGAGGGAGAAGGTAGACCATGCCCCAAGCCCTCTCATTCCTGTTGGACTAACTGGTTGGATGGTTGTTTTTTGACACCGGATATTGCAAAGCTGGTCCCAAACTCAAGCAATCCTCCTGAGACTACAGATATGTCACCATGCCTGGCCTGTTGCCTTTTATTAATGATAAATGCCTTGGGGTTAGCCACTTAAAAATAGACCCAAAAGTATTTTAAACAGTCTAAATGCCTCAATATAACTAATATTTTATGATGTTTATTCTGTACAAGTTTGGATATCCAAATCAAATAATTCAAGTGGATTTTTTCCCTTTGGGCTATTTAGACTAAATAACTCAATATCTCAATGTGCCAGTATACTTTGAAGGTATCTCTTCAAAACCACCATTTTTTATGGAAGACATTGGAAAAAGTTTAAATCATCTTACTTTAATCTCTATTCCTTTAAAAACAATCTTTGGTCTAATTCTCACAGCAAGAGGCACTCATTTTTCTGCTCTTCCTTTACCTTCCTGATCATTCACTACAGTGGGACATATTGAGATATTCAATCAACACGCCTTTTGATTATCTACTACACATGGTATTGTGTCAGATAAGATGGGAAATTCCAAGATGTTTACGCCAAGCCTTGTGGAGAACACAATTTATTAAAGATAAGACACGGACAACATAATATAAACTTAATGCTATAATTATATTTATAGTTTGTTTATAGAAGTTAAAAATACTTTTTACTAGATTTATTTGGGAGGCAAAACCATATTTTACCTCTCAGAATTCCATGGTAGATAGAGGATTTTTATATACTTTTACAGAATAACATATTTTAAGCTGATATTTATTTCTTACCAGACAGAGTGGTCAAATTTGCATTTTTAAAGAATATTTCAGTTATTCCAAGAGCCTTCAAAATGTCTTTTAAATCAAATTCCTGTTCCACTGTGAACCTGGAGAACATACAAGAGGAAAACAGTTATAATATACTGTTACTTGGGACAAGAATGGAATGTTAGATATGTTGATTTTAAATGTCTACTTTATAGAGTGTAAATTATGCTAAAACACTTTTGACTGCAAGATCCATTTGATTATGCTTATAAAATATGAAGCATTGAAGGGAATGATACAGCAATAGGATTTGAATTCATAAGTTGGAAAATACATGATATAGACACAAACTTAATATACTATAAAATGAAAGAATTTTTAGATCAATAATCACTAAGTATCATGTATTTTTGATCTAGTAAATAATATATTTAACCTTTCAAGCTGGTAATTACTACCTATAAATTTACCCAGGGTGTTTCCTTCTTTTAGCACTATGGTCAGTTTATGCTGTTTACCCAACCCCCACTCACCATGCACAGAGAAACAAGGGCCGAGTCCTGCTGTACAATTAACCCACTCAGTATTTCAACTCAGTAAAAACTATCACATTATAAAATGCATCTTCATGGTTATATTGATCTGCTGGACATAAATAAACCAGTTCTCATGCTATCAAAAAAATACCAATGAAATTGAGTTAAACATTATTTCTTAAAAATTGTAGGCATTTATAATTCTAGCAGTGTTTTTAAACAAAAGAACAATGGCTCTTAGTTTTGTTTTAATGAACTTTATGCGTTATTATATATAAATATGCAGCAATTTTGTAAGAAGACAAAAGTATAAGTATAGTGGTCATAAATAGAGTATTATTTTCAAAAAAATAGTTTTGTCAGGCATGATGGCTTATTTCTATGATCTAAGTGCTCTCTGAGGCTGAGGCAGAAAGATCACAACTTAGCAGTGTAGTGAAACCCTGTCTCAAAATAATAGAAGGGCTGGTGATGTAGCTCAGTGCAAAGCTCTGGGCTCAATCCTCACTACCACAAAATAATAGATAAGTGATAGATAGATAGACGATTGATAGTTAGATAGACAGACAGACAGACAGACAGATGGACAAACACATGGTTCCCACAGGAAAGCCAGACAGGTTATGGAATCTTCCCTGAAGCAGTGAATTGTATCATTATTCTTTCTAGTGAAAGGTATGAGTCAAGTATGCGGCATTAACAAATATTTTTTAAAACAAGTTTTGACGACAGTAAAAGACACAAAATCCTGTCAAAGTGAAAAATTTTCCTTTCTTTAGGATGTTGCTTTCTGATTAATATAGATCATAAATATCAAGTTTTAGGCTGTATTAGGTTATGTCTTTATGGCACTGAAAGTTATATTGGAATCATTTTTATGTCTTAGAACTGGAAGGAAATGATTTTCATATATAAAACTTAGACAAGAAGGGGAGTGACCAGGAAAACAATTTCAGTAGGCCCATTTTAGGAAAAAATAAGATAGACAAATATACATATACTAAATATACTAATCTAAGTACTGAATTTTACTCTATCATATACTTTAACTTGGTCTTTACATTATTTCATTTTCTATCAAAAGTAAGTATTAATGAGAAAATAGAATTGCTTTATGGTACACACTTCACAAAGGGAATAAAGAGGAAAGTACAAGACGCCTTAGAGAATGTATTCAATGGCTTGATGTGTTTGGGCATGTGCGTATGTGCTTTTTGCTAGTATGTATACTTTTGAACACTTATATGGAGTTTATTGTATGCCAGGAATTGTTCGAAGAGTACTAAAAACAGACTAATTTAAATATCACCACTGCCCTTGAAGTTACGTGTCATTATCTTCAGGTAACACGAGAAGGAGCTGAGCGGCAGCTGAGACAACTTGCTCAGGGTCACACAGCTCCAAAAGGCAGAGCAGAGGTGTGGATCGAGGCGGCCCTCACCCCCTAACAGGGAACGTGGAGGCACGTATCAGGAGTGGGTTCTTCTTACTTCTTCAGAGCAACTTGATTTGTATCACACTGGTAGCCAGCTGGCCAGGTGATGATGAATATTTATCCGGATGAACTTGAGCAAGTTCCTTAACTTTTAAGCCTCAATTTGGAGACAGGGAAAATGACAATGACAATATGTCCTTCATAGCGTTGTTAACTAGAGGGTTAAACCAGGCTTACAAAAGCCTCAGAATGTGGCTTGCTTGCTGAAGGCACGGGGTAAAGGGCCAGCACTGCTGATACTACTTACTGCGGTTAGGTAGAACATCACACTCGTGTAGCTATTAAGATGTCGCATGTTCACGTTCTAACAGTCATGGGTATATTTTTGTTGAATAGCTGTATTAATCCTTGCTTCCTTCACTACAAACTAGTCAAATCTCGTCTGTTACTAATTTTAGTGTTTGCCATGTCTGGCATAAGACAGGTCATATAGGTTGAAGTAGAATAAAATCTAGAAGTTTGTAAGATTTTTTTGTTCAAAGATAAAAACAGAATGTGAATAATTTGCACTTGTCCATTCCTTGGCTCTTTTATCTGCACAAAGCAACTGAAGAGCCATCATTCAGTTATTAGCTCTTTGCTTTTAGTACATACTAATATTAATCAAATCACAGAAATTCAGGGTTGCATTTTCAAAATACTATACGTGAATAAAACTACAAAATCATTAAAGACTGACACCGGAATAACCTAGAAAACAGCAGCATTTTCACCCGGGCTAACGCTGGGTCACACAAGTCACTACGGTCACTGAAATGCTGAGTGGGTCCCACTGCTGCACAGTGGCGGGAGGGAGTTTCCCACGGACCCCTAGAGCACCGTAAGTATTTGAAAACTCTCAATCCGTTCAAAAGGGAAACCAGCTGTATCTTATCTGGCTCTTTCACTTCCCTGTGTGTGCATTAGCCATGCAGGGGGAGTTTATAAAACTCCTGCAGAAATGGATTACGGTAATTAGCTGTGCCTAGTTTAGTAACAGGCATTAATATGAGCAAGTAACTAAACTAGTTCATAATTGAAGAATATCTCTTAGAAAATGAAAATTTAATTTTCTTCTGCTGCAGTCTTCAATTTCTCAGTGGACAGGACCCAGAGGCCATATTTTCTAACGCATGTGGTTGAGTTAGAATATATGATACTTATTAAGCATTCATTTAGAATTCTGCTAAAATATTCCTAAACAACTTTATATCTTCACAGATTTAAAGCATTTGGAGACACTACTCTTAACTTATGGATGTCAGTAAGAGAATCATTAACGCTATGAATTTCTGATAAAATCAAAAGGAATTCCGTGTAAAATGCCAGGAAAAACAAAATTAATGAAAAAGGTCAGCAGATGAGTACTGACATGGACTAAATGACTAATAAGCTTAGATCTGACTTAGAATGTAATTTAAACTCATATTAATGTCCAAAAGTAAACTGTGCTTGGCATTAAGACATATTGTTTATGTATTTGCAAGAATTAATTATCATATACTTTTTTAACATTTTAAGAAACCATTTTTATTTACTTACAAAAATCATGCTTAATCTCAAATATTTCAAAATCCATTGTAAAGGCTCTTTTAAAAGTATAGATTCAATTATCATATATTTTAAAAGTGGCTTTATTTGTTAGATATTCATTGACTATGCTTGATAGCAGACTTAGAGTAGAATTTTTTTCTATATTTTAACGGTATTGTCATAGAAAGTGATTCACACTGAATGTTTTAACCAAAGAGAAAAAAATGAAACACTTAGTTTGGATTACCTTAATTTTTATAAGCAGACCAAGGAATGTATGACTATATATTATGTACGGTAATGGCCAGCCAAAAAATAATTTTCTAGCCCAAAATATCTACACTCCCAAATAGACCTCTTTCAGTAACACAAGCAAGAACCAGCTAAGCTTTTGTAAAAATAGGTATTTAAATAAAAAGTAACTCTTTAAAAATTTCCTGAGTGGCTGTCGATACTACACCACGATGGGGCCTGTTTGGGGAAGCTGGTACATCATTTAATACACCTTAATCAACTTCAGTCCCGTGGCCGCCCTCCTGCTCTCCCTCCCAGAGGCTTGCCCTCTTCCCCAGAGTTCCCTAAATCAGAATAAATATCAATGAGCTGACGATTTAAAGAGCAAAATAAAAGATAGACACAGCGACAGGAGACAGGGAGGTGGATCTTTTCCCGTGGGAAAGGCGACCAAGACACGGAGGGAAGGGGGAAGCAGGAAGGGAGGGCAGGAGAGGGAAACAAGCCGCGCTATGTCGTGGACCCGCTCCCCAGGAGGACTGTAATCACGACGCACTGCAAACATGTGAGGGTATTTCAAAAATTTTAACAAGTGAGTCAATACGTTTTAAATAATTTAGCATTCTTTAATGCCTTATTTATCACCTTTAAATGTTCATGGCAACTATATTTGAACATTTTCTTAATTTGGAATGAGTGTTAGAACTGTACTGCCACATATACATGTATATTTATCTGCTATTTATTGGTGTGTCTTGCGGTCTAGCCTAAGTTTACACGTTATATTTTTAAACATATGTATGTTGAACTAATCTAGCTTTCTTACTAGCTCTTAAGGTCCTCAGGGATGGAATAAACATCATCAGCTGGGTTTCATTTTACAAACATTTACTGTGTTTCTTTTCCGTTGAAGAAAATTGGTTCTACCGTATAAAAACTTGCAGAGGGGAAGCAGGACGCAGAAGGCAATGCTCCGGTGGGATGGTCTCGGGTCGTAACCAGGAGGAGCAAATATGAGACGCAGGTGAGGGTCACCTGGTCCAACACACAGCTCGGGGAGGCTCTCTAGTAGAACTGGGACCTGAGCTGACTCCGAAGTGTGAGCAAGAAGGTCTGGCGAGGACTGCGAGAAGGGCTTTCTGGGACCATGAACGCGGACTCCAGGACATGAAAGGAGCAGGACGCACAGGGCGTAACTCAAGCACGTGGGGACAACGCTGCAAAGTGCTGGTGTGCTGACTGGCAGAGGCGGGGTTCAGGAGGTGAGTGGCGGTCAGGATATTACAGATCTGCACGGATTTCATGCTTTCAGCCGCAGAGGGGCCTTTCGCAGAGCTGCCTCCTCTTGACTGTTCTCGGCTGCATCTCTGTGTCTGGCCCAGTGATTTGCTTGTGCCTCTGCCGGCAAGGCCAGAGATTATTTTCCCTCCAGCTGTAATCAACTCCAGTAACAAAATCAGAAAGACTGTCCATGAGAACAATATTCGGAGAAAGTCGATCAAATAATCTCCTAAAACAAAGCTAAGAATATTGACTCATCACTGGATCTAGGCCTCGGAACATAGCAGTGAATGAATCAGTGAGTAAACACGGATGCCTGGGGAGAAACACTGAAGCATGAAAGAACACTAAGGACTAGAACAGGAGGAGGAAGAGGACAAAGAAGAGCAGGAGGAGGAGGCCATGTAAGAGTCGAAGGCAGGGCAGTTTTATCGCTCACGCCTCCACCGGAAGCCCTCCCTCCATGCTGTGGGAGGAGCCGCGGGAGAGCGCTCACCTGGGAAGGTACACTTCTACTTTTTGCTTCTTCACAGAGTTGGCCCATTCTTCAATCAGCTGCGCCTTGACCAGTGGTTCTAGAGTAGCCAGTGGGACTTCCTGTCTGGACAACACTAGCGTCATGCTTAGCTCGTCACCCTCGTACGGTATCTCTAGGACTTGGTAGATACCGCCAGCTTCATTGGAGCCATCACTGAATTCCCCTGAACAGGAAGGAAGGGCCATGAAAGATCTATGTGAAAAGTTCCTCTAAAAAGGTTTAATTTGGTTAGGATTTCTTCAGAAATAGGGTGTAGAAAATAAGAATGTTTGGCATCTGCAAAACTGTCCCTGAAATTAAATGAATTTTAATGTTCCAGGGCCCTGCAAAATTTATTTTATTTTAGAGTCCCCAGAATATTTTCACATTTGTCATAACATGTTCTCTAGATTTATTTTTACTTTTAAGTGAAATACTTCAAAATATTTAAAGCATATTACTATAAACAATAAAAATTCTCATTACAAAAATAAAGCATGGCCCCGAGTTGGATGCAAATCACATTTAACAACATTTACTTGATATCTAAAGAGGGAATTGGCTACATAATACCTGATCCTCTAATATTACCTCCACTACAAGTTTTGAGGCCATAGTTACACAGACAAGAAGAAACCTAGTCATCCTACAGTAGTCTAGTGCAGTGGTGGCTAACCTATGCCATGTATGCCACCGCAGGCTGTCTGTATCACTGAAAGCTTGGAAGGCTTTGTCATCACTGGTCTCGTGTATTTACGATGACTAAGATCTCAGATTAGGTAATTAGGTAATCTCTTGGTGTTCTATGAACTTGGCCAAATTATCTAGGCTTGAATATATTCTCAACAGTCTTTAAAACAAACACTTCTGCCACTGCTTTAAAATCTCCCTACTTTCAAAAATTAATGTCATGCTGTTTCTATTTTAAAGAGAATAAACGTTTTAAAAACATGAAAACCTATACAGAATTTCAAAACAAGATGATAGGAAATCAACAATGGTTTGTTATATTGCATATTGTTATCTTCAGAGTAGTTGTTCAGATTACCAGGTATAAGCATGCAAAATTGGTCAAAAAATTAAGAAAAAAATTTAAGCATTAACTGTGCTGAATACACATTTCTCAGATGAAGAACTACAAATGGCAAATAAATATATGTAATGCTTTTTAATGAACACTTTCCCATAATAGATCTAGGTTGTTTAGACATTAAACATTTTGGTTTTCACACAAATGGGTATTTCCCTTTCATATTTTGACTATTAACTAGATTTGCTGTGATTATAGTCTTTTAACATTATAATATACTTTTAAATAGTATAAACTATTAGTTCTAAAATACACTTGGCTTAAAATTACATTTCTGATTGTGACTTAACAAATTATTAGAATTTAATTTAGTATGTAGAAAGGAATAACACACTAAGCTGAAGAGTAAAGAAACATGTTTGAAAACAACACTGGGGGTATTAAATTTTATCACAAAGCACAGTCATTAAATGAAACTGAATGAACAATTATTTCTGGCAATAGTTTAAAAAAATTTTAAATAAAAGAATTTAAATGCTCCTGTGAGAAGAACGATTCCAATTCAAAAAGTGGTAAGGAGCCTAAATCAAGGGTGTGGTGGGCCGAGCAGCTCACTGGAAAACATCCCAAAGCCAGGGAGTCGCGCAGTAACGCGGAACGTTCGTGCATCGTGCCAGATGTTTCCAGATGAAAGCCCACTCAGCAGGTCTGATCGGCTACAGGAATTAAAGGGACACACTGGGAAACTGTCAATGCACAGAATGTTCACTCAGCGTCTAATTACAAGTAGCCTTGGAAAATGCAGCTAAGGAAATTGAATTCTAGCCCAAATGAGACTGACAAAGAGCTTGAGTAATGAATATTTCATTTCATCTTTCTAGAATTTATTGGTGTGCTACAAGAAGAAAGAAAGAAAGCCCAAAGTTGCTTACCGTAATAAAATTCCCCTTGCTGGTACATCATGGGAATTTGGACCTCACTTTCGTCATCTTTAGTGAAGGAAAAAGTTCTAGTATTTTCGGGTCTAAACTGTGACTTCCAGTTGCCCTTGAAATACACAGCATTGATGAGCGCCAGATGAGTGACAGCCTCAAAATCTCTTGGGGACACCAAATCTTTCAGAAGATCTATTTAAGGAAAAGTAAACAGACAAAAATTCATGCTAAATTAAAAAGTGAAGGGTACCGAATGTTATCACCATGTGATACAGTGGTTTGCGACTATTGTACACTACATTTACAATGAAAATAAAAGCTATCTTACTTTCAAAGAAAAAAATTACACACACACACACACACACACACACATGCACACACGATTATATAGTTAGCAACTAAACTCATCCAAAACAACAATACCGCCTCAAGTAATACCAGTAGCACCCTGACATACAAACTACACAGCCACATGCATGACTCTCAGGCAGCACCACCGTGAGCTGCAATCATACATGTGAGACTCTGAACACTGACTGAGCACGCAAACATTTCTAAATTGATTCTTGAACAATGTTTGAGATTAAATGTCAACAATTCAAACTTTCCCCTGAATATCGGACATCCTTCCACAAATACAACAGTTGCTGTTAACTAGATGAAAGCAGATGAGTGAAGCCAGTTTAAATCTTGATGCCTTATTTCTGTCATTTGAGCTGCTCCTTTCCAAACGTATTTTAAAAGATACTGGTCTTTGTTGTTTGCTGGAAGTGTCTAAAAGAGTTTGAAAACTAATACACTTTAATAATTCAATATATCTCAGGTGGATGGTTATTCTTGATTTATTCTTTGAATGCTAAGAAAAGACCTTCAAAATAAGTTTTCTTTGTGCTACAATTTAATCTTTTAATCTTGGAAAACATAGGACCAAAATATGCTCTGCATTCTCTGTATTTTATTAGAGTACTTCTTAAAATAAATGCTTCAGTATTTTGTGAATTATAGGATAAAGGGTATCTGATTAGGTTTAGTTCTTTTTGTCCTAACAAAATTTTAGATTCACATTTATTTGGGAGTTTTGACATTAAAATTTTATTTAATGTACAGCTACAGTACTTTCTTTGCCTTTATCTTGTTTTTTAGATCCTAATATCAATTATTACTCAGATAAAATTGGAAGATAAAATGATAAAATGTGGAACACCTTAGCCAGCCATGGTGGCCCACACCTGTCATCCCAGCACTCTGGGAGGCTGAGGCAGGAGGACTGCTTCACCAGCCAGGGTTACATAGTGAGTTCAAGGCCAGCATGAGCTACACAGTGAGACTGTCTCAGACAAACTAATAAACAAAAATTAGAAACTTAAAAAGTAAAATGTGGAACATCTGAAGACCTTAAATTTTAAAATATTAATTTGAAGTCAAATTTAACATAATTGCTTTTTTGTAGGGATTTCAACCATGGGGACTGAACCCAGGGCCTTTGCACTGAGCAACATCACAAGCTGTTTTTTGTTTTTCTGTTCTTTTTGAGATACGGTCTTTCTAAATTGCTAAATTGTCTGGGCTGGGCTCAAAACTGTGATACTTCTGCCTCAGCTGCCCAGAGTACTGGGATTACGGACATGTGTCACCATGCCCGAGGAAGGTAAGGGGATCTTATTCTAATCCCTTTCCATTTATTTGGGCTTAAAATAGGCTGCTTTTCAAGAAATAATCCTTTTGAATTTTTTATTGCCAATCTAGTTTTGGAGATCTAAAGCTAACAAATATCTTTAAATTCTGATTTTACCTGTCTAATTCTATCTTAACTGTATTGTTGAAAGAATCACTGAATGCCATCCTCTCTAGTAATACATTTATTCACTAGTGAGCTCAAGCTAACCCTGCTACGTGGAGGAAGCCTGTCAGTCAGAGAGCAGAGAGTTCAGGTGATCGGTGCCAAATTCTTCATGTATGAAAAAATTCACTTCTTCCTCGAGAGTTCATTCACAAGCAATGTTTCCGAAATGGACTGTAACCTGCAGAAAATTACTACTAGACACCAACTAAATGCTGTCGAACATTCAAAATGCAAAGGACTGAGGGGACAAATACTTTCCAGAACAAAAGATGGTTAAACTACGCTAGCAGGGAAAGAAAGAACATACCGCTTGTGTTGTTTTCCACCCACTTATTGATGTAGTTGGCCGCAGCTACGTTTTGACTGAAGTCCACATGATTTACTTCTGCATTAAAGTACTTCTTCATCATTTTCAAAAAGTCCTCATTGACGTGAAATCCATTCTGTACGAAGAGGGAATTGGCGATCTTCAGCTCACACTGGCTCTCCTCAGCGGGTACCATGTTAGAAAACGCCCTCAAGAGGGAAAGTTCTTCACCTGCAAGACGACGGAGGACGTTCATTCGTGGAACAACCATGGCGAGAGGTCAAGAAGGGGCAACAAGCAGTAAACTCAGTAGGGACGTAAGGAGAACACGGCCCCGAGGGAAAGCGGGCTTATTCCTCACAGCGCTATGGCGAGGCTGTTCCAGTGCTCGTATTACTTCTGGATGTTTCAATAAGTAGCTTAATATTGTCAACTAATACTATTTTCCACTGCATTATTATATTGCTAGAATCTACAAAGCAGAAATTGTCAGTGATTTTCTTTCAATGCACCTGGGTTGATTTCTTTAAATTAGTCTTATTTTATAGTTACCGGGGGAAATTCTCTTTAATTATCTCTATAAATTCAAGTTAGCTGGAATCGTTGTGCACACCTGTGATCCCAACGCTCGGGAAGCCGAGGCCTGAGGGTTGCAGTGAGCTCGAGGCCAGCCTGGGCTACCTACATATTGAGTTCTAGGCCATCCTGAGCTTGACTAAAACAAAGAAGAAATTCAAGGTATTTCTTCCTTTAAACCTTACTATTGCTAGACTTTTTAAATATTATAACTAGAAAATCCATTCTAATTAGTCATAGTCCTTAACTTTCTAATGAGTTAATTTATGTGCACATTAGAAGCATTAAAATAGAAATCATACATGGTATTAAAATGATTATAAAATACCTTTGGGCTAGAAATTTTCCCGTATACATATAATTTTTATAATAATACAACATTTCAAAAAATTCTTCTATGCTAATTTATTTATTTATTTATATATTTATTTATTTATTTATTGTGGTACCGGGGATCAAACTCATGACCTTGCGCTTGCCAGAGCTTATAGCCCCAGCCCTCTTATAAGCTATTTTAAAAAAGGGGATACAGTTGATTTTTAAGTAAAAAATGTCTTACGGTCTTAGAGAACCATGTTCCTTCCTTTACACAAATAATCATAGTTGTAATGTTTCATGTATTTGCACGACAATTGAATAATACAAGCTTTTCCCTATAGATCAGGCACTCCAGAATCATTTATTTGTATCACAATGAAATTTATTTAAATAATAATAATTTTGAAGTGTAATTTTTTAGACTTAGGCATAGGTGGAGGCAGGAATTAACACCTTTCTAGCCCTTCCAGCCATACCACTTCAGTATCATAATTTCTTACTTTGTGTAAATATCACCGCCTCCAACACATGAAAAAATAACTTAGTTCAAATTTAAAGTCCAACCACCTGGAGAAATCCAACCAGAGCGCACTCACCAGTTTTCAAGTTGTCATATCCCATTGCAAGGCGGATTTCTTTCAGAGTAGAGCCTTGAGCCCCAAGTTCCATTATTCCCATTGCAAGGGCAATGCTCAGCGGAGAGAAGAGAATATTTTCATCTTCCGCAGAGGCTCGGAGATGGTTGTACATGCTCACCGACACCTCTGCAATGGTTCCATCTGGGAAAGAGGCTCCTGACACCACACTTTGCAGAACCAGCAAAGAGAATAGCCCAAGGAAAGCCATACTGGGATAGTTTCAAGCTTAGGAAACAACAATTTACACATTAATTTTCTCAGAGAAATAATAGAGTAAAAGGAAAAATATAAGGAATTATTTCTTGGTAAAGAAATACTTTTTAAAACACACACAATATTAATATTGCTATGACAAAAGCCCCCTTAGAATTATGTTGGAAAGCCCTAGTGTGTGTGTGTGTGTGTGTGTGTGTTTGCGTGTGTGCACATGCTCATGCAGGACTGTGTGTCTGAAGATTGTCCCAAGAATAAGAGAGTTATGTCTCTAAACTTCATGAAGTTAAGCGGATGTATAGACACATACACAAGTGATTCTGTTATATTTGGAAAACATAATAATTCTTTTTCATAATCTCATCCCATATATTTCGATCATGAGTTTCAACTCACTCACCCTGCTCCCCCTAAATTACATAGGTCTAGGATAACTATCATGAAAGCCAGAAGATGCTTCCAGGACTTGGGGTGAGCTGTCGAAGTTAGCCATTTTAAACACCACTTTACTCATTTACTACATTTAAAAACATTAATACGCTGTGTAGCTGGGTTACCAGCGGGTGGAACAAGCTCAGACACACATGTGCCCGCGTCCCAGTTTACTCAGCCCCAGCTGCAGAGCTCACAGGAAGTGAGCTCTGTCAGCCCATCCGGGGCCTGTTCCTCAGGCGGGGGTTCCCTGCACAGGCGCTGTTCTCACTGACACTTGTCAGCAGGCAGAGCCTCCTGCCGACGTTGAGAATGAAGCGGAGTTGTCGATATGACATTGTCCTTGTGTACTCAGGCTTATGTTTCCATTTCAGCTTGCACCAACAAATTGTGGATTCCATTTAATATGTTTAATATCAGGTTTGTCTCGTTCTAGAATCACACTGAGAGCACATTTGTTTTGGTAAAAGAAAGCAGCGTTAGGGCCCTGATGTCCTCGACTAGCATTTACGTGACGGCATGCCAGTACTGCAGAAGCTCCTGTCCACCCACAACGGCCTGACGCGTACCCACCGCGCAGGATCTCCTTTCCCGGTATTCTCCCACTTTGTCTGTGCAGGCATCTAAGAAGCCTCACTGGTCACGCAAACAACGAACTTATTTTTTTTTAATCATTTTTAAGTTCATCATTAAAATAATACATAAAACAGTATTGAGCAAATACACTTGAAAATTGTATTTTAATTAGGGTTGAGCACTAATGATCTCCATTCGTCAAATCATGGTGCAGATACGTTTAAATGAGGAGCGGGGGATATGCAATAGCCGATGAGCCAGAAGTTCCAAATCAGGCCTGTGATTCCTGATTCCATGAAAAGTAAGGAGTGGAGGGGCAATCATGGAGAGTAAGAGAGAAGTATTTCCCTCACTCTGTTGGGCAGTCTGGTCTAGGGCACAACGAGGGTACACTACATCATACAGTTTGATACACCACTCTAACTCTACCCTGACCAAACTGAGCCTCACTACTCCAGTTTGATGTCATCTAGTATAAAACTAAGAAATTAAATTCACTATATAATACTTATAGCTGTCATTCAGCAGTACAGCTACTCTGAAGCCACTGCATTTAACACAAGCATCAAACTTCAGGCTAATAAAAGTATCTTATTCATGGAAAAAAGTAATCTATTGCCAACCAATACATCCCAAATAAGTTTACTTTTATTTACAAATAAATATTTATGAGATAGCAATAGCTAACTTTTTTGTGTACTTATAAAGTTTTCTTGCTGGGTGGTGTGGCACATGCCTGTAATCCTAGCACTCGGGAGGCTGAGGCAGGAGGATCACTGTGAGTTCAAGACCAGCCTGGGCTACACAGTGAGCTCACTGCCAGCCTGAACTGCATAGCAAGACCCTGTCTCAAAAAGACTAAAATAAAATAAAATAAAATAAAATAAAGATTATCTTATTAGACTTTTTAACCATGTTATAAGTACAAACTCTTACTATCTACATTTTGCAAGTGCAAATACAGCCTTAGGTTTTTGCTCAGTGTCGTTTGGAAGTGCTGGAGCAGGACTACAGCTGAAATCATCCTTAACAGCAAAGTAGGCTGCTTCTCTAGTCTTTGGATAAGTAGTCATGAGACTTGAAGGACAAGACCTGGGCTCAGTCTCGTATCTGGCAGCATGGCATGTGACCTTCCACCAGCCACATGAGTTCTCTGAAACTTAGATTTCCCGTTTGTGGGATGAAAATACTGTATTAATCCTTACTCTGCAAAACTATGAAAGAAATATTCTAAATTAGAAAATTATGTGTGAACTACTTATTTTAAGCTGTAAGGCTTTCTAATAGTGGGCATTATTAGGAGAAAAGCAATGTTTCCTAAGTATGTATATTTTCCAACCTAAATAGAAAGTTATAAAGCCAAAGTAAGTATTTTTATCATTCTTGTTGGCCATCTAATACAGTACCATTATGTATTCATCCTGCCGAGATGGTATGGTACCATGAAAACATAGAAATATTTAAGACCAGGCTCTTATCCTAGAAGAACTCACACCATTGTGCAAAAGTATATAATCCACTACAGTAGTTCTCATCTTTTCAAGAAAAGGAATCATTTAAGAACCAGAAAAAGAGTAAATCAACCCCTTCAGAAAAATGAATGCCCACAGATAACAGAATATTACCTTCGGCGGGTGGGGTGTTCCCTGACCTCAAACTGGGAACAACAGGTTGAGGGCAGCTGGTCCAGAGGCAGACAGGCAGTGTTCCAGGAGCGGAACCCACAGACCCACAGGGTTTCTTTTCTGGTGGAAACAGAGACAACAACACCACTGACACAGCTGCGGGCTCCTGCGGGCTCCCGGGAAGCACCCTGTGTCTGGGGGCGGGGGCTCTTCCAGGGTGCCGAGTCCAGCAGCAGGTTGCTGACCACCTGTCCTGCTGGGAAATCAGGAGCCTGTGGCTGTGACTGACAGCAGAAGTTCTTCCAGGAAACTGTACAGATTGAAAGTTCTCTGCTCTGGAAGCACACACGTTCGGAGCTTTTCTCCTTCTGAAGGCAAAGATTTCAGTTTTCAGGTAAGCCTGCCTCTGCTGGCCCAGTCCAGCTTCTCGGACGCTGCCTCCTTGGCCCGCTTGCGGGGCTCCCGCCCCTCGGCTGCCTCTGACTACCTCTGCGTGTTTGAGGTCTTTCTTTGGTGGGAGACAGACGTTCCCCTCTTTTTTATACCTTCTAAATGTCGATGTTCTCCATGGACCTAGTCCCGGCCCTGCTCTCTTTTCTGCGAATACTCCTCACTCGAAACAAAGACGTGAAAACTACTACCCTTCTTCAAAGCCTAACGAAGGCAAAACTCTAGTTCTGACTTCTTTTACCTTTAGCTCTGAGGTACATCATCCCCTGCTCTTCAGCCGTTTGCACTGCAGTTGCTGTGGGCGCTCTGGAGGCAAGGCGGCTGAAACAGGCCGCTCTCTTACCGAGCCAGCTCACTTCTTTGCTCACAGTACCGGCCTCTGGCCCTTCTCGGTCCGCTCTCCCCAGGTTCAGTGAACTGGCCACACCCACCCCACGCTGCAGCCAGCACCGCTCCTGCGGCCCTCCAATGGCCATGCCGCGGCCACAACAGCAGCTCCGCACCTTTCAAGGGCTACACCGACGGCTCCCAAACACTGTCTGCATCCTTGGTTAGTGCCTTCCCCAACAGCTTACAAACTGCCTCCAGATCAACTGCCTTCACACACCCTATGGCTAAGTTACTCCCGCACATAGAAAAACACCGCAGGACGCTGTAGACCGAAGCCCAGAATCTCTAGTCTGGAACGCAATCCTTCATTCGCACTGGGATTGAGCATAACGTTCTACTCATCACTCATCACCCTCCTACAAACCCCACAGCTCCGATCAGATTTGCCTTGCAGAGGCGTTCCCTCTCATGTCGCTGACTTGTGTATTTTTTTCTAGAATCACCCCCTCTTAGTTCCAGAATTTCAGATCCTAACTCTTCCTCAGTATTGTGTTCCACTTCGGAGTGTCTCCAGTTCTTCAGTTAAAGAAAAATCCCTTCATCTCTGCAGTGCTGCTACATTTTATCTCCACCTGCCGAAAGTACACACCGGGGCTTCCAGAGCAGATCGTTCCGTAGGTGTATCCTCTCTCGCCTTAGACTTTGAGGGCACAAATGGAACGGTCGCCTCTGTACAGACGAGGCTGCTCGGAATACGACACAACACAATACACGAAGCAGGTGCCAACCCAACATCTCTCAAATTAATACAGCCCTGGAAGGAACAGCAAGGGCAGTTGCAGCTTTTAAGGTTTCTAGGTGACTGTAATGAGCCTAGAAGTTGCTCATTTCCATTTTTTATTCCCTTTGATAAAGTGTTTCCTCACTGAGGCTGAGGCCGTTTCCAGCCCAGCAAGGTGGTTCTCTGCCCCTTGCTGGCTCGGTGCAATGCCCAGGCGTGCGATGCATTAACAAGTACAACACCCGAACAATCAAAAAAGGTGCCATCCGCACATGACCGTCTTAATATTGTCTGCAAAATGCCCAGGGTCGCCATGAGCCACAATAATCAATGCATTCCCCAGTTACTCCCACATGGAGCGTTACTTCGAAGATTCATTATTATCAGGCAACTGAATATAATATTTTTAGATAAAAAACACAAGAGGATGCAGTACTAGAGCAGTAGGAGATAACGCTGCCATGGTAGGAAAGGTAAAGCAGTTGAGCTATGAATAAACTACTAATTCTTGAGCATTTCCTCCTTGCTATCTATGGCAAGGAAGCTGCGTGCACGTGTGGATGTGTGCGCTACTTTAGAAGACACTTCATTAAAATAGGTCAGGAGACTGAGTCATCTTATAATTGAGGTAGGAGAAATTATAAAACTAAAACCATTATTATTTTAAAAAAGACATTTTAAGGTTTTCTGATAATTTATGCTACTTATAAGGAGATCAAGTATTCATAAGTACATCTTATTGGGTTTCAATAACCCAATTATTTAAAATGTTAGAATGATTTTATAATTGGGAGCTGAGAAACAAAGGGAGGTCCTCCATTGCCATGGAGACAAAATAGCTGATGGATGTTTTTCTTCTAAAAAGAAAAAAAAAGCATAGGAAATAACTAAGGAGAAGCATCTAACACAAAGGTGCTAGAATTCCTCTAGCCTATTAATTCTCAGACTTTACATGCAAAAGGCTTTTATTCTTTTAATTGAATGAACCAACACAGGGTTGCTAAAATTTTTTTAATGCAGCAAATATGTTGAAATGCAGAGGAAAACCGCTAAAACAATGCCACTAATGAATATCTCAAAATAAAAACATGACAGTCCTCTACAGTGGACATATTTGGATTCATGAAATTGTACTATCTTTCATCATTTTGCCATATATTGATGAAAATTTTTATCATAAGTGTTTAGAAAACTGCTTGGAAGTCACTGTTCTAACTTTGGTAAATACTTTGGTAGTTGCTAAATTTTTGTACAAGTTGAAGTCTCCAAGCGTTTTTTCCTGCTTTTCTACGAGATAGGCTAAAGTTAGATACAAAGCAATGAAGCTGGGAAATCTGTTAAACAGAAAAAAGTCCCCATCATGTGAAAAAAATCTATACTTTAGCAATCTGTAATTTAGCAAATTTCCTTTTTGTCACATGCATGATGTTCCTCATCTCCATTAACTTCAATGTTTCTGAAGGTGAGATAAATCTAATAATCAATGTCCAAAGAAACCAGCTAGTCGCCAGACAGAGGTAAAGCGTGATACAACTGTCATTTTTTTGTCAGGTCCCACAATCTGGGCAAGTATGCGCTAGGTTACTTGTTAACCTTTGTTTCCTCCATGGACTTATTTCTGTTGCTGCTGCCTGTCCCAGCTGAATTTTCCTTATACTTGGAGCTGGACTTGACCTTGATAGGACATTTGTATGCAGAACAGGAAGGACACTGTAAGTAATGCCAATATTCCCTCGAAAAATGAAACTATTGATTTTCTTGTAAAAAAAAAACCACCAACCAAATGCTTTACAAAGGACGCAAGGATAGAAGCACATGCAGATAGATAAATATGTGCAAGCAGAGAAGCCTTTTCTCCATAAAGCACACACAAATGTCGGCTGGATACCAAGCAGTACAAGAGTTAAACCTAAAAGCAGGAGGACTGTCCAAACCTCTCAGAATAAATCACAGTGCTTCGAAAGCTGGAAAAGTGAATGATCTGCGTGTGCCACGCCAAGGACTATCTCTCAGGTGTTATCCAATGCTGCCTAATAGCTTCCAAAATTACTTATATCATCTTAGGCATATAGTGAAGTCGAGGTGTGTGTGGAGTGTATGCATGTGAGAGTAGAATATCCAAGTCATCGAGTGGAAATGTAGAGAATAACCCAATATTCTTTAAGATGCCCTAAGATGACCTCAATCCAGAAGTGCTCAGGAGGTTTCAACTGGAAAATTCATTATGACGTATGTATGACGAGTAGTGGCCAAAGGCCATCCGGATGAATGTTAAGGTGGGTTAGAGTTAAATTCCCGCTAGCTGAGAGGATTCTATGCTGTGGTGTGAATAAATGTGCTTCACAGGTTTTACAGACGTGAATAGTTCTTCTCTTTAAATTTTATTCTCTCAGAAACAACTGTTGTTCAATTAAGATGTCTGTTAAAACCAATGGGTCAGAACCAAGGAAATAAAGAAAATAACAAGAGGTTTAGTTCTGTCATCATAAAATCTGATACTATTGGGTCTCAGAAAATAATACCCCAAATTATGACCCTCTGCTCTGCTGACTATTTCACATTAAAGGTCCCGGCTGCGCATCAGGTGCTGGAAAGGTTTTGCTCTGATATCCCCCATCTGCCTTAAGGCAGCCCCTGCCAAAACAGAGCCGCAACTGCCTTCATGTCTTCTGGGAGAGTGGATTATCTGTCTCAGGAAGAAGTCTGAGGACTGTAAGCACACCCGGAACAACACCTGTACCGTAGGACAGTACAGGTCTCTCAGGCCCATTCAGATTCCACTGAGAATCATTTAGAAGCTAATTTCTGTGCCTTGGGACCATTCCTTTTCCCTAAAATTATTTAGTGGTCCTCTAAACTGCCTGCATTCCCCAGTGGTTTCTTTTTTGAATGAAGAGGGCTTCTACCCACCAATCATCTGGCTCTTCTCTGAGTTCTCTCATTTACTTCCTTCTTCATTATCTGCCTGTCTTTCCAACAGCCAGCACAATGTGGCCGTTCCCACACACGCCCAACTTGCAGTTTTCAACAGGATACATGCTTGTCTTCTTTCCGTACTGCTGCATCAGGCAAAACAGAAACTCCTCAGATATCCCTCAAACCAGGTCAGCTTGGGAAAATGCCACGTAAATCAAAAGGGCAACTCCGTGGAACGAGTAACCTACAAAGATTTAACTTCTTAAAAAAAACAGCTATGGAAGAAATGAACCAGATGATGACCGGGGATCTTGAATTAAACACTACATATTATCTATAACATAGTCCAAGAGAATATGGATACCCAAACTTCCCCGAATCTCTAAAGCGATCTGCTGTAGGATTACTATACCAAGTCTGCATTGTTCAGTAGCAGAGAAGGCTAATCAGAATGAAGACGTGCTGTGTCTTAAGAGAGACGACTCCTTCTTTGGCGCTGCCGGAGACTTCCAAGGAGCTCTGGGTGTTTCCAGGAGCCTCCTTGGGTGACAATATCACTCACTGAGTAGTATGCTACAATAACTTATTTGGAAATTATTTCAGATCAAGAAATACATGTTGAGAACAGTTAACGTTTAATTATTTGATCGATCTTACATGTCTAGATCTGGTTACCAGAGCAACCACTTTGAAAATGACAATATGTAATACAGCAACCATTGTTAATTTCCTATCACGTTGTTTTGAAATTCTGTATAGTTTTTGTTTTTTGTATGTTGTTTTATGTTTTTGTTATTTTGTTTTCATTCTCTTTAAAATAAAAAAATACATGTTGAATAAATGTCTTAGTGAATACTTTTGCCATATTAGGCCATAAAAATGTTTGAAATTAAAGGCTAAAATACTTTTATACTTTAAGAAGTTATAGCAATTCTGCTAAAGAAAAACTCATGGCGCCTGTTACGGGTGGTAAGAGGGACTTCGCAAAGAACACGGAGCACCGGGGAGAGACAGGACGTAACTCCGAACGCAAGAACAAGTGGGAACGTCCAGCCAAGGGGCGGCCTGGGGATCTGCAGACGGAAATCTGCGGGGAGAAAACTGGGAGTAAAGGAGATTCTGCCTCAGCTGACTTGACAGGGCTTTTGGTGAAGAAAGGCCAGGGTACTAATTTATCTAAGATGTTGGATGAGGGACCTGACGAGATACCGAGGGTAGATCAACGCTCAGCCAGCTCAGCTAGATTCTTCCAGTCTGGACTGAGCAGACCCAGGACAGAGGCCAAGGCCGGGTGCAGCTCAGAAGAGGCCTCAGAGGAGCCTGGCTCAAGTCCGGTGAGGGTTTTCTCCCGTGATAGAATGGTTAGATATACGTGTCTGTCCAGTGAGGTAGACACTGCCCTTTGTGGCTGCTGGGTTCCTCGGCTTCCTCAGTGTGGCCAATGAACTGAAGAACTAAATTTTCAGCTTTCTTTAAACTTGATTAAGTTAGCCACATGTTGACAGTGGCTACTGCATTAGACAATGCAGAGCTGGAAGTCAGCTAAACAGATCAACTTTTGTAACATCGGTTCTTGAGCAAATAGCCCCTAATACAAGTATTTAAAACAAACACACAGAAAAATCAGTGATATGAACTCCAGAAAGCATGTTTCTATACAAAAGAATTTTTTATTTAAAAAAATCTTCCTCTCCAATGATAGAAAGGGTCCAGTTTGAACTTTAAAGTCTTTTGATTAGGGCAGGTGATTACAACTGAAAACAAACTCATTGTCACAAACTCCAGTGAACGGAGGCCCTGAGCCCTCTTGGAACTGGAATGTGGGCTTTCCTTACAACGGTGATGAGTAATTGTCGTGGCACAATTGGGGAGGATGTGTATTTGCCAGTGCATGGCTTCCCTTGGATTTGTGTCAGAGAGGAGAACAAGTGACACACAAGCCCAAAGACAAAAATTCAGCAAGTGGCTTCCAAGAGCTGGGTGGAAAATGACCATCGAAGTCACATGCCATCCAAGACCATCTTGGAACTATGCCAGGCACTGAAGGTCTTAACTTACCCATTCATAGTTTAAGAAACCCTTCCTATTTGCTCTCTGTCCCAGACAAGCCTGAGGATGTTCATTCCGCAGTACTTCGCCTAGCCCCTCATTTCACTGACAAGAAACTGAGTCATTTTTACTGAGCAGCTTCCTCTACACAAAGGATGTCTAACGAACCAAAGAAGTACTCACATGTGGACGTGGTTCCTAAAATCCCTCTCACTCCATTCCTCCTGCAAGTACTAGTGTTTGCCAGGTCCGTGCCAGGCCCTGCGGTAGGTGCCGAGGGTACAGAAGGAAACGGAGGATATAAATGACCTGCCTGAATGGCATTGTTTTCTGGGTTAAATACACTCTGCTCAAAAACATAATTAATTTTTCAATCAAGTTTTTTAAAATTAGGATTTCTAATCTCTCATTATTGAAATGTTGCTTCTGTAATAAAGTTTTAAGATGTTGGTTTTGTCTCTGAAAATAAAAAAAAAAAATACTCAGATGTTAAGTTACTTCTTGATTATTTTGCTAATGGAGAGATTTGAACCTGGCTCTTCCTTCAATCATTCTGGAAATAAAAGTTACACTTGAATGTATCCTGAAGAGCCAGGGAAGGATGTAAAACTTTCAGGTAAGTTATTTAGCACCTAAAATATCACACAGACTTCTATAGCATTTAAATTCACTTTTAAACTTGTCTTATGATGCACATCTAAAGTGCAAACACTACTGTGACACAAGGGTAACTAAACAAAGGAAAGCAGTACAGAGGGCTGTTGGACACACACATCGAAGTATCCAGGTAAATTATACCAGATTGTCTGTATAAACTGGGCACGGTGGTACATGGCTGTAACCCTAGCATTCGGGAGACTGAGCCAGGAGGACTGGAGGGCTGCTGCAAGTTCAAGACCAGCCTCCGCTAAGCAGTGAGTGCAGTCAGCCTGAACTACGTAGCGAGACCCTGCCTCAAGAAAATGACGCAAACCAGAATGAAACAAAAGAGCGTATTTGTAGAGTGCTTCCAGGGTGTTCTTCTTTTCCCCGCTCCTAGGACTCTTTGCATTCTTTCTCGATACCCCACTGTAGAGCTAGCCTCAGCTATCATTACTTTGCTCCACAGCCTGTGACCTCGTATTAAAGGATAATGCGTGAGGGTTTAAGGACGTCCTAAACTCTTCTGAGATGAAATGCTATGCTCTCTTTGCTCCAGGCTTGGAGTTCACACAAAGCTACTGGATTACCTTGGCCACCATAATACTGCTAAGATCTGAATGAGCTGTCAGGAAGATAGTTTAGATTAATGCAATTCTGACACTAAGAAAGGACAGAAGAATATTACTATTAGCTTTAATTTTAAGAAACTGACATCTTTATGTCAAAGTGGTCAATTATTGGCAACTTCATAAGCTTCAATCTTCTACTTTCTGCACATCTGTTGTGTGCCCAGCTGAAGATTAGAACTTTCATATGCTATTTTGCAGCTTTATATTCCACATATCTTTTTTGATGTTTTAAGAAATTCATATTAACTTAGAAAGCAGGGAAAATATCTTTCCTATTTTTTTTTTTTGTTTGTTTGTTTTTCCAGTACCAGGAATCAAACTCACGACCTTGCAATTGCCAGGCAGGCGCTGTGCCACTGAGCTAAATCCCCAGCGCCCCCTATGATTTTCTTTAAGAACTCTTTCATCTTGCACTAGAAGTGTTAGGAACTGACAGAAAGAATTCTCTAATTGATAGAGAATATAAACCTAAATTTTTTTATAAACCTAAATTATTGTTTTTAAAAATCATTTGAGACAATAAAGAATTTCAAAAAACAAGATGATAGGAATTCAACAATGGTTATTAGACATATTGCTGTCTTCAAAGCAGTTGCTCAGATGAACAGATAAAAGCATGTAAATTGGTCAAAGAGAAAAAAAATTAAGTGTTAACTGTTCCTTTTAATAAACCAAAAGAAACCAGTAGTACAATTATCTTAGTTATCTTGTATCCCTTTCCTTCTTTCTTTCTTTCTCTTCTCCTTCCCTTCCCTTCATCCCAGTTGCTCTTTCCTTTTGAGCAATTTCTTTCCCTTTCGCAATATCTATTGTACATTTTGGGTTTTATTTACTCTTTCAGGTTCTTACACTAGGGAGACAATACGATGTTTACACATGAAGGTCTGCTTTATTTCAAACAGACAGCTAGAAGCACTTTGGGTTTTTTGTTGTTGTTGTTTGGAGGATTTGTTGGTTTTTTTTTTTTTTTTTTGGCTTTTTGAGACAAGGTCTCACTATGTAGCCCAAGCTGGCCTGGAACTCGCAGCAATACTCCTGACTCAGCCTCCCGAGTGCTGGGATAATAGGCCAGCGCCACTGCGCCACACCTGTTTTTTTCCTTAATCACAAAGATACTCATGACTCACACTTATTTATCCTAGGTAAATTAAGTTACAAACCTTTTAAACATGTCTTAGAACTACAGACTGCTGAAAGTGGAAATAAGAATGTGTCAAAACTAATTTTATTGCTTGCTTTTAAAGCACCCATACATTTAAAATAGGAAACGTCCCTGACATTGATTAGTGTACTGTTAATGCTACCTGAAAATGTCTGCCTGGTATCTCCACTTATAAATGCTGTAGGGGGAATTTCTAAAATACACTGGTATCCTGGTCCGGATCATCACTGTGAATGACTAAAGAGGTAACTCGTAATTTTAATGGCTGAGTGTGGGCAAACAAGTACAACACACACTGATATAAAAAGACGCCGTGAAGCTATTCCGGTTACATTTCCCGGTAATGTCCAGAGCAGCATTCACGGCACAGTAACAGCTTCAGGAAATTTGCGGAAGGGTGTGTCAAGAGAGTCAGCCAACGATATCATTGGGCAGGAGGGGAAAGGTCACGAAGTATTACACTTCTGCAGGAGGCACTTCGTGCAGTGATAGACCGCTGTGATTTTCAGAGATGGGGGAGAAACAGACTTCATTATTTTCTTCTGAATCGAATTCAAGTTTAACTTCCTCCCTGGCAGGAAGCTGTCCTTATCAAGCTGCTCGCATAACAAAGCTTTTCCCACCGTGGAGCAGGTGGAGTGGGGAGCAGTCATGGATCTGAGACTGTCAACACCCAGCGCGCGCTGCCTTGGCCTGCTGTCAGGACTCGTCGCTCCGCCTCTGTCAGCCACGGCGCAGTCTGAGGAGAGTCTGGAGAAACGCAGGAAGGATCAGGCCATTGGCTTTTAACTTGTGGTTTGCTCCTTACACAGCTTAAGGGTTTCCAAAAGTGAAAGCTACTTGTGTCAAAGAAATTTCACAGAAATTTTAATGATCCCAGGGTTCTTGTCAGAGTTTAGATTGCAGATGAGAGTTGGCTATAAGTAAATTAGAACAAAATGAGATTCTTCTCCTAACTTAACCTTTTCAAAAAAAATACAGAAAACAAGCCCTGGAGAGAATGACCATAAGCTGGTAATTAGGTCGCCATAAGCATCATAGATTTTTACATTGTAATAGGTCTACAGATTTAAAACCAGTGTTATAATCCCAGTAAGAGATAAAGCACAGCTGAAGACGTGCCAGAAGCGTGCACTGCACTGTCATATATTCTCACTTGTTAGCCTGTAGAGCCTACTTAGGAATGGCTAGAACCTGCAACATCTTGGGAACTGCTGATAAAATTCTAGGAATATCAAAGTTTCCAAATGCCACGAGAAGTGCTTCCTGAAAGATACATCCTTTGCTCTCGATTTCCCTCCAGGGACCAACTGATTCATGAAATTCTAGAGTTCAAATAATGTAATGGACAAGCATCAGGATACAACGCAAATCACTGCTAATTGTGATTAACAGGCCTAGAGGCAGAGGGTTAGCTCCCTCTTTTTTGTAGATTAAGAAACTGAAACCGAGTAAGTTGAGGGGCTCTGAATTTTTGTCCGAATGCTTCAAATCTTATGCTGTTTTACTATGTCATGTGGCCACCATTCACTGGATTACAGGGCAGTGTCTACTCGCCGTAATTTCATAGACAAATTCTCTATCAGGACTAAGTGCTAAATTCTACGTGCACACACACACACACACACACACACACACACACCGCCATTCATCTCAGTGTAAGACCGGCTCACTTGCTCATAAGATATCTTTAATGTTTGAGTGAAAACTCACTCTCTAACATACTGATCCTACTTATGCCAAACAATGTTTTGGCAGGTTTTATACACAACACATATTAATTGGAGCCCTAACCTACCACTTAATTCACACTACAGTTCTGACATTTTTACCTAAAAAAGTTGAAAAGGTAAGACATCCACACAGTACAAAATCCAAAGGGTACACAAAGGCATACACTGAGGGCTCTTCTCCTACACTGCCTGACTCCTATCTGTCAGTTTCCTTCAGTGAACCCAGTCAGTGTTATTTTCCAAAGACCTGAGGCACACACTGTATGTATTAGTGTTTTTCTTATGGAAGTAGGAACATAATACACATGACGTGCACCCTCATTTTTTATCTGACAATATACACTGAGACTATTTCCTTTCATTACATAGAGAACTTTCTCATTTTTTATGGACTTCACAGCATCTCACTTTGTAGATGAACCATAATTTTTAATTAGTTTCCTACCAATGGGAATTTATATCATGCAATCTTTTACTATTACAACTAACACCACATGAGTAATTTCTAAAATACATCATTTCACAGGTGTGCAATTATCGCCTCAGGATAAATTCCTAGAAGTTAAATTATTAGGTCACAAGACACAAACTTGTAATTTTTACAAATACTGCCAAATCGCCCTCCACAGAGGTTATATCATTAAAAACCCTAGGAAACACTCAAAAGAAATAAAGAAGATTAATACAAAAGAAAAATTAAAATGCTGCTGAAGAACAGACACAAAAAGATTGAATAATTAATCTCCTATGTAGTGTTCTTAACAAAATAAAGATAGGTGAGTATGTGGGACAACGCCAAGGGCGACAGTCAGCAAGATGTGGATAATGTGAAAAACCATAGCAAGAGCGATCCAGTTTCAGCAAAAGTCTGGAATAAAGAGCCAGGATAGTCAGAGAGGCAGGGAGAGGACAGCTCAAAATAGATTCGAGAGACATCAACACATGGCAATGCTTTGACTTTATTTGGATCTTCATTTAAACAAACTATAATGCTATTTGTAGCAACTATGAAGCAACTGAGAGAAAAGATTACAATAAATGGGAAAACATGCTTTACTTTTAGGAATACTGAATACTGTAAAGATGCCAGTTTTCACTATGTTATTCTATATATGTGAAGCAATGAAAAATATATACTTTGTAAATGTGTAAATACACACATATTTGTACACATAATTTCACATATACAGTACACATATTCGTAAACACACAGTGATCTTGTTGTTTGCCTGCCTGATTTTAGAGGACGTGTCACGTTGCCCTGATAGGCCTCCAACTTCATGCCGCCTTAGCCACTGGAGTAGCGAGGATGACAGACCTGTACCAAAGCACCCAGCTCATGCTCAGGGTTGAACTGAGGAAGCACAAGGGTGACAAAGATCCAGAAGTAACTAAAAAAAATGAGTATGTTTGCTAAAATAAAAAATATATACACAGCAAAAACTGTACGAGTAAAGTCAAATGACAGGTGACAAACTGAAAATTTTTAACTTAGAGAAGAAAGAATGAGTCTACAAAGAACTTTTATACATTTATAAAACCAGGAAATATACTGCCCCAAATAGGCCAATAATATGAATTGATACTTCATCAAACAGGCTTTAAAGTAGGTATTAAACAATGAAACACTGCTTTTTAATTGGTAGAGAGAGGCAAGCTATAGATACTGATGAAACTAAAACTGGACCATTAGTCCTTGTCAGACAGATCAAAAGCAATACTGGGGCTAAAACTCTTACTATCAGAGAACAGCCCTTGGGCTAGTTGAGTTGTAGGAAAAAATGGATGGGGAGCAAAAAAATCGGGCATCTCGTAATCGCCAGTGTCCACTGTTACACTTCTGCCTCAGAAATGTAAGGTCGCATGATCAGATGCTTGTTTATCTACAATGCAAATGAAGAATTAAAATAAATAAAGCCACCAAGATATTTAAATAGACAAAAATAAACAGCCATAAAAATACGTATTTTGTATTGAAGTTTGGATAGTTAACTCAGATGAGGCAAGTCTTCGTCCCTAACCCAGAATATGGACTTTTACGTACAAACAGTAATAAAGGACTGCTGCAGACAATCACACTGGCTTCAGGAAGAAACCATAAAAAACACTGGTCTGAGCCTAGCATATGCTGCATGCCTACAATCCCAGCACTGTGAGAGGCTGAGGCAGGAGGATCACAAGTTTGAGCACAGCCTGGGTAATAGAACAACTTAGTGAAACCCTATCTCCAAATTAAAAAGGGGGGGATGGGGAAGTAGCTCAGTACAAAAGCCCTTGGTTCAATCCTCAATACTGAAAAAAAAAGTTGGCTCACAGCAAATGAAGAACTACACAGACTTGAGAGAAAGCTCTGAAGCCGAGGATCATCACTACAAGCGTATTTCCTAGGATGATCACGGTATTACCGCAGTGCCCAGCACTAGATATTCATGATGACGACCATGACCTTGAGCCATTTTAAAAGTATGAAATTAATCACAAATGCAAGCTTGCAATATCACCTCAGATCGTCTTAATGATACTACCTACCAGCCTGATCCCCCAAACTGGCTTTCAGCCTTACCCCTTGCACTTGGGTTCTCACTGCTGGTGGGGTGATCCGTGCTGTCTTTTCTTGCAGTCCTACAGGCCCTTTGTGTCCTGCTCTGGTGGACGCGTCACCCCAGTGCCAGGTGAGTTTCCTGCCTCAAGCCCAACACCCACTCACACGGTGCCGCCCCCTTCCTCCCAGTGCTCGTGATCCTACGAAACGAAAGAGGGAGAAATGTGGGGGACTGGGCCGAGGAGTGAGTGTTAAACTGTGGGGCGAAGCACACACGCCGGCTTGGTGAGGAGAGGACGGTTAAACAACAGAACGTTCAGATAAGCAAGGCAGGAGTGTCTGGCCATTGCCCTTCCCCTTCCCCAAGACAAGCTGCCCAGCCTTGAGACAGCTCCTTGCCCAGACTGCTTTTCCTCTACTTTTTTTTTTTTATTACACTGATATTCTCAATAAAAGCCAGAGAGCTCTCAGCTTTGGGGCTACTCCTGGGAGTCCCCTAACTCTGGGTGTTCTTGGTTGAGCAGGACCTCTGGCCCTCTTGGTGACTAAGTCTCATCTCCGAGCAATCTTTCTCACGCTCTGCAGCCAGGGTTGTACGCTGTGACAAGCAGGTTCTGGGAGGATTTGCATGGTATTTGTTACAGAAATTCCATAGACCATCGGAAATGAAATATTGGCATTTTTAATTTGGATATAATTCAAGTGTTTTTAAAAGAAACTTAAATATATGGAAAAACAAGATTCTTCTTGGAAGCAGCGGGCTATAGTACTATAGTTTTAAAAACAAATAATACATTATGAGAGATGTGCTTTTGTTTCCACCTGACAAGCAGATTCTCCCATCTTAAATGATTCTGAATTGAGTAACATCTAACTTACCCTGTAACTGAGGAACACATCTGTGGGTTTATGACCTTATGCAGAACATGGCTCTATGCCAGATTCAAAATTCTTTGACTTAGTGTAATTATATTGCGAGTGAACTTATGTTCATATCTGAGTCTGCCTGGCTTAATAATCGGGGCAGTCAGCTCCATCTGCGGCTTGCTGTCCTTCATGTCGGTGGCAGGAAGCCTCCCCGAGGTTAATTTTCTTTTCAGCCACGGCTCTCTTTGCAGTTCCTCACATTTTAGCTATTAAAATCGATGGCATTTAAAACTCCTCAAGTATTTTTTAGCAATAAAGCTACAGGCAACAAAAGGGGTCATCAGGGGGGTGAGTTATTTTAAGATTTAAAACCAAGTATGATTAGATAGCATATATGTGATCTCTATGGACCATTAATATCATTAATGTGAGGCAAAAGTCCTACGTTAAATGGCTTCTGGGACAGCATAATTTATTCAGAATGACAGGGCTTTAAAATATTTTTATAACCTATTATCGAAAAGGAAGACAATAAGACCATTTCTCTAAATCAGCACTTCTCAGTGTGTGTTCTGGTGATTTCTGCGTCCAGATCTCCTACAAGGTGG